ACCTATTAGGTCTTGCATTTTTCCCTTTTTTTTTTTTTTGCTATTCTAGTGTTAGAAATTCCAAGTGGTGGTGGGACTGCTATTATTTTCCTTCAGACGGTTTTCCATAACAAAGCACACACTCAGGAACTTTCCACTTTAATTCCATCCTCTTGCTCCAAGTAATACTGCTTGTATAAATACTGAGTCAGTCCCTTGCCTTGCCTCGTGTTCACACTCCTCAAACATCTGAGATACCAACATGTACTTGCCAGTTTTGGCAAATTATATGTATCTAGTTCTTTATGTATTTCGTAAACCGGCACTTCTAGACCCTTGACCGCTTTGCTGGTTTGCAGCTGGTTATTGCTTTTATTATTGCTCTCTTTGCAATTGCAGCATGTCACTGTATTTTTGATAATAAGGTACTGAATACAGCAGTTCAGCTGCAGTCGCACAAAGCCCTGTAGCTGGGACATTTATCTTATCTCGCTCTTCTATATCTGATGCTTCAGCCTCTGTAGCCCCAAATTCTTTCCTTTTTTTTTTTTTCCCCGCTTGTTGTCATAGCACGTTGTCAAACTCATGTCTGTTTTGCTCTTTCTAATTTTTTTTTTAGTTTGATATACTATCACCGTGAGTTCCCTGACAGCATTGCTGCTTCTCTTGCCTTTTATATGTGCTTCAGATTATTTTCCTCCAAAAATACGGATCCTAGACTCTTTAAATATGTAGTAGAATATGGAAGGTAAAGCCAACATCACTAAAGGCCTTGACAGTAAAGTGAGAGGACCCGATCCTGCAGTTCTTACCCAAATAAAGCTGACGGGGATTTCAAGGGGAGTTTTGCCTGAGCGAGGAATAGCTATTAGCTGCAGCCCTTGGCCCAGCGTGGACAACTTCTAGCTTTCGTGCAGTGATTTCATCTTCAAAGCATTTTACAAATACTAATCTCCAAAACATCCCCAGAAGGAAAGTCTGATAAGTAAGTAGCATTATCCCAGTTCTGGACTGGGAAACTGAGGGAAGCAGGTTAAGTGACTTGCTTAGGATCACAGAGGGAATTGGGTTTAGAGGTAGGATTAAGATTCATGAGTTCCTGGCTCCCACCACCGTGCTCAGGCTGCTGGACAACACCTTGCACTTTATAGCCGAGCTATTATTCTTTTGGAAAATATGAAGCATTTTGTCATTGGGCAAATATACATTTTATTGGCAGTGTAGAGCGCCATAATCCAAAGCGTTACATTAACGCTTTCAAAAATATTTTATTTGGTAAATCTATAGCTGATCCATATGCCTTTTAATAGACTCTTCCACTGGGGACATTTTTAATGAGAGATTGTGCTGGCTAGGTCCAGTGTCAGGTACTAAAAGAAGTGCTTTGTTGTGCAGATGTCTTAAGAATAGCTCCAGAGGATGAAATATGACTGTGTTGACCTTTCAGCTGTGAGCTTATTTGTCAGGATTCAAATAAGTTGAAAGGATCAAACCAAACAGTTTCCGTAGTCAGACTGGGAATTGTGTTGCAGAGGTCAACAGTGAAGGCCACATCGCGGATTCCATAACATAGCCAATTGTTGGTATGTATTAAAGTACTGGAGCAGCTCCTGCAGGCAGAGACACAATTAAAATTCTAATTTATTAATGTATACAGAGAGCTGGCCCAGCCTGTCACTCACTGATTCAAATGACTGCCCAGTCTTTTTTTTTTTTTTGCCCCTCCTCACTCCCGGTGCTTTTGCGGTCTTAAACATACTGGAAGTCCTCTTGAATGTAACAGACCCCGAGTGCATCCCTGCAATGAAAATCTGTTGCTGAAAGGAAATGGTGGCGCTGGGGGTAGAATTTTTGAGTAAAACTGCACCCACGCAAGCACCCACACCCCCTGAAGTGGATGGCGCCGCACTGACGAGGCAATACCCGTCGCTGACAGTACATAGAATAAATGTCGAGGGTGGTGGAAATGCGCCCATTTTTGAAAAGTTTGCTTAAATAACGAACCGAGTCTTCTTTGCACTTAGTTTATAAATATAGATGTCTCATTGGATAGCCACAGTGGTTAGCAGTTACCTATTTTTTTCCCGACAAACAGACTATGTGCATAACAAGAATACCATAGGCATTGCTTATCTCTGCTGTGCGCGGCGAGGGCACTGGCGAAAAGCTCCCTAGCACGAGTGCTGGGGAGCTGTGTTTGCATGAAACAGCGGGAAGGGGTTCGCCCGGGGTGCTGGTTCTCCTAATAAGATGCTCCATGGCCCTGCCTGTCCCAGGAGGGGGGGCTGGCGTGGTCCCACGCGGGGCTGGAAGAGCTCCCTCGGTCTGGGGCTCAGCACTTCAATGCTGGCTGGCAGGCTTTGTCGCGTAAACCCCACTGCCACAAACAGATGCGGAAAATTAATCTAGTCTACGCTGTGTAGCTAATCTGTTATCGCCTCGTGTATAGTTTCCTATATTCCTTCTTTATTCACTGATCAAATAGCCACGGTACTTAAATATATCCCGGCATCCCGTGGCCGCGCTGGGGCATGGTGCCTTCAATAGCGTTTACATGACAATGGGCTCCAGCGGTGTCTTTGGGGTCTCTTGACCTTGATAACTCTACCTGGAGACCTGCTTTTAGCAAATTTTGAGATATTTAGTGCATAAGAACTTGGACACAGGAGTGGAGATGTGCTCTGCTGATAGTTGAAAAAAAATAAATCTCCGAATACACGATGACTCACATTTTGAGCCTATCTCACACTGCCGTGCTTTATATTTGGCAGTGACCTCCGGTTTCACAGCCTGATGACACACAAAAAAAGAAAATTGCAAGTTAAGGAATGAATTTAGTAACCAGCAGTTGGGGAAAGAATATAAAAAATATCAGCCCCACAAAAATTACTGGAAGTGAAAAAGACCTAAAGCATGTTTGATAATATATTTGCCATAGACATTGGATTTCCTTGAGTCTGTGAAACAAATAATTTAACAGGTCAGGTATGCTTAGGATTTTCAAAATGTGCACATTTTTCCTGGCCAAGATAAACATATCTTTGTATTATTGATTAAAATTTGCAGCTTTAATTGCTGATGCTCTTAACGATTATTCATTTTGGTTCTTCAAGCATTTTAGTTGCTGGCAAAAGCACACAGATTGGAAACAAATCAAGAGACACATTTTCTCCCAAGAAAGTAAAAGTGCATGTGTGTTTTGGCAATACTAAAAATACAATTTTTTTTAAAGACGTAAATGTTGTGTGTTGCATTGAGCTGAAAGTTGGATACTGGACTGAAAACGGGTCTAGGACGTCCAAGTCAGTATCTTGCAATCGAAACCCATCACTTGACTTTTTTATGTGATTAAATGAGATTTGTTATATGATAGTTAACCTGCGTGTGTTTGGAGAGAAGAAACAATGAAATTACTAACATGGAAACTTTTGTTTTTGGTTGACAAAACAGAAAATAAATCTTCCCTTTAAGTCACGGCCAAGAAAAGAATTTGGGTTTGGTTTAGATTTTCGGGGTGAGACTGGGGGAGGCTGAGAGGACAGAGCTGTCCTCGCCTTTGCATACCGCTGCTTTTTAAAGCAGCCTTTTGGCTGGGCTTTTGTAGAATTTAATTTGCATGCTATATTATCTTAATATTTCTTTCCAGTATCTTGAGAAATAGAAGAGGGCAAGAGGAAAAAATCACTGTAGCTTGACGTTGGGGGCAATTATTATTGTTTTCTATGAAATTAGAAATCATTAGCTAACAACATAATAAACACTGAAAGGTGAAGGGGAAGGGTATTCTCTGTTTTGCTTGGAGCACACAAGTACCAGGTTACGTAGCCTCAGGTTTTACACGCAGTGTACCCTTTTTACATAGTGGTAAATTTAACAACTGGTAGAGAAATTATGTCTCGGCAGATAATTTGGGAAGGGAAATAAATTTGCAAGTGTATTTATTCTATTTGTATGAGTATCTCTCTGTTCCACTCCTACACATGGGAGCTGATCTGAATTTGGCCTCAGTCAAGCCAATGGGAATTTTGCCACCAGCTCACTTCTGCAGAGTTTAAATAGTTTACTTACGAAAATTTCACTTGAATCCTTCATTTTTTTATTTTGGACTTTGGAAATAAAGCAAAGTTGAGTTTTGCTGGTTTCTACCAAAGGACCCGTAGCTCTTTTATTTTTCATCCC